TTTTTCTGGAGTTGAGCTGGAGGAGTTGCTTGTATATTTTTGAGACTAATCCTTTGTCTGTAAGCAACAGATTTCTGCAAGTTGTTTTTGTATCCTGCAATCTTACTGCATTTATTAGTTGTAATCATTTTTGGGTGGAGTCTTTAGGGTTTAGTGTATATGTTATTTGCAAATGGTGACAGTTTTATTTCTTCATTTCCAATTAGATGTCTTCAATTTTCTGTCTAGTTGCTGTAGCTAGGAGCCTATCTATGTTTTTATATTTAAGTGAATTTCTTACATACAATGCATAAGTGAGTCTTGCTTTTATATCTATCTCTGCCTTTTGGCATGAGTGTTTAAACCATTCACATTTAATGTAATTATCCATATGGCTGCATTTGCATCTACCATACTGATTTTTTTATTTGCTCTTTGTCACTTTTTTGCTTCTTTCCATACCTTCATTTAGGATGAATACATTTTTATGATTTCATTTTGTCTCCATAGTTGTGTTGTTAGATAAATCACATTTATTTATTGATTTACTCTAGGGTTTACACTGATCACAGTCTATATTCAAATAACAATATTTTCATATATAATATATAAACCTTACAATAGTAAACTTGTATTTCTTTACTCCCACCCAATATTCTGTGCTATTGTTATCAGATATTTTAATTCTACATGTTATAAACTCCAAAATACATTGTCACTTTTTGCTTTAAACAGCACTCTTTTTAAAAAAACTTTTTAAATTGGAAAATGTGTTCCAAATTTATTCACATATTTGCCATTTTGGATATTCTTTATTTCTCTTGTGGAGAAACACAGTTTTGGCCTGGCATCTGTTTCTTTATTCTTGAAACAATTCCTTTAACATTTAGTAAAAATTGCTAACATTGTAGTAAAAATCTGCTAGCAATAAATTATCTCAGCTTTTGTTTCTTTTTTGAAAGATATTTTCACTGAGTATGGAATTCTGGGTTAACATTTTCTTTCAGTACTTAAAAATGCTGTTTTATTATCTTCTGAACTGCACAGTTTCTGAATAAAAATTTGTCATTCTTACTTTGCTCTTGTAAGAAGCCTTTTTTTTTCCTCTAGCTGCTTTATGAGATTCTCTCTTTATCACTCATTTTCAACAATTTGATAGTGTGTGACTTCCTTTATGTTTCTTTTATTTGGAGTTTGTTAAGCTTCATGGATATTTGGGTTTCCTGTTTTTCTCAAATTTGGAAGTGTTCAAGTATCATTTCTCTAAATACTTTTCTTCCTTTTCTCTCCTTTAAGTACTCCAATTACAAATCTGTTAGACTACTCAGTATTGCAACACAACTGAGTAAAGTTCTATACTTTTTCTTTCAGTCTTGTTTTTCTCTATGTGCTTAATTTTGAATGGTTTCTATTGCTACAGCTAGAAGTTCACTGATTTGTTCTTCTGCAGAATCTAGCTTGCTTTTAATTCCATCTAGTTTATTTTTCATTTCAGTATCATATTTTTAATCTCTGTAACTTCCACTTGGATCTTTTTTTTCCTCTTCTAGTTTTACTGATATACATCACTATATACATTTCAGGTATACAGAATAATGATTTGGCTTACACACATCTTGAAATATACTTGGGGCTGTTTTATATCTTCTGTTTTTTCCTCATTACGTTCACATTTTTCTTTATTGCCTTGAACATAGTTATAAGATTTATAGTTGTTTTACTGTCTTTATCTATTAACTCCATTATCTCTGTCATTTCTCAGTTTCTTTTTCTTTTTTTGAGTTTTATTTTTTATGGGAATATAATTGCTTTGTAGTGTTGTGTTAGTTTCTGCTGTAGAATGAAGTAAATCAGCCATATGCATACATATATCCCCTCCCTTTTGGTCTGTCTTCCACCTCCCCCATCCCAACCATCTAGGTCATCACAGAACACCAAGCTGAGCTTCCTGCGCTTTATAGTGGGTTCCCACTAGCTATTTATTTTACACACGATAGTGCATCCATGTCAGTCTTAATCTCCCAATTTGTCCCACCCTCCCCTTTCCCTTGTCCACATGTCCATTCTCTATGGCTGCGTCTCTGTTCTTACCTTGGAGATAGGTTCATCTGTACCATTTTTCTACATCCTACATTTATTGGTTATGTACAATATTTGTTTTTCTCTTTCTGACTTCCTTCAGTCTGTATGACAGATTCTAGGTCCTTTTGCGTCTCTACAAATGACTCTCTTTCACTCCTTTAGTGGCTGAGTAGTATTCTGCTGTATTTATGGACCACATCTTCTTTATCCATTCATCTGTCATTGGATACTTAGATTGTTTCCATTTCCTGGCTATTGCAAATAGTGCTGCAATGAACACTAGGATACATGTGTCCATTTGAATTATGGTGTTTTCAAGGTGTATGCCCAGTAGTGGGATTTCTGGGTCATATGGTAGTTACATGTTTAGTTATTTAAGGAACTTCCATACTGCTTTCTGTAGTGGCTGTATCAGTTCACATTCCCACCAACAGTGTCTTTATCATGTTGAGGTAGTTTACCTCTATGCCTACTTTCTGGATAGTTTTTATCATAAATGAGTGTTGAATTTTGTCAAAAGCTTTTTCTGCACCTATTGAGATGATCATATGGTTTTCATTCTTTAATTTGTTAATATTGTGTATCACATTGATTGATTTGCATATATTAAAGAACCCTTGCATTCCTGTGATAAATCCCACTTGATCATGGTGTATGATCCCTTTAATGTGTTGTTGGGTTCTGTTTGCTAGTATTTTGTTGAGGATTTTTGCCTCTGTATTCATCATGATACTGGTGTGTAATTTTCTTTTTTGTGTGATATATTTGTCTGGTTTTGGTATAAGGGTGATTATGGCCTCATAGAACAAATTTGGGAGTATTCCTCCTTCTTCCATTTTTGGGAAGCATTTGAGAGGGGAAAGGTGTTAGCTAAAGACCATATACAATAAACTCAGAGCAAACATCATTCTCAGTGGTGAAAAACTGAAAGCATTTCACCTAAGATCAGGAACAAGACTAGGATGTCCACTCTGGCCACTCTTATTCAACATAGTTTTAGAAATCCTAGCCACAACAATCGGAGAAGAAAAACAGATAAAGGAATACAAGTTGGAAAAGAAGAAATAAAATTGTCACTGTTTGCCTATGACATGATACTATATATAGAAAATGCTAGAGATCCCACAAGAAAACTTCTGTAGCTAATCAATGAATTCAGCAAAGTTGCAGGATACAAAATTAATGCACAGAAATTTCTTGCATTCCTATACACTAACAATGAAAGAGCAGAAAGAAAAATTAGGGTAACAATTCCATTTACCATCACAACAAAAAGAATAAAATATTTAGGGATAAACTATCTAAGGAGTCAAAAAACCTTGTACTCAGTCTGTTTCTGTTAAGTAATTTTTCTCCTGGCCATGGGTCATGTTTTCTTGCTTCTCTGCCTGCCTGGTAACTTGTGTTTGAATATTCCATATTGTGAATTTTACAGTGTTCTTTCATGCTGGATACTGTTTGTTGTTGTTGTTGTCTACTTGCTAAGTCGTGTCCGACTTTTTGCCACCCCATGGACTGTAGCCTGCCAGGCTCCTCTGTCCATGATATTTCCCAGACAAGAATACTGGGGTGGGTTGCCATTTCCTTCTCCAGGGAATCTTCCTGATACAGGGATTGAATCTGTGTTTCCTGCATTGGCAGGTGGACTCTTTGCCACTGAGCCATGTGGGAGCCCTGCTGGATACTGTTACATTATTGTAAAGAGTGTTGTTCTGGTAGCAGTTATTTTCAGATCAATTTGATAATTTTGAGGTTTAATTTTAAAACTTATAGAGGTTTCAGAGTAGCTCTTATTCTGGGGAAAATTCAGCCTAGTAGGCCTGGCCCTTGTGCATATGCTACTCAATCCCCCAGGCATTATTAGGAGGTCTGTGGAAACACAAACTATTCCCACCTTTCCCTAAACACCAGGAATTGTTCTGTCTATTGCTTTGGGAGATTCCTTTCCTTGGTGCAAATATGCTCAAGTACTCTAACAAAACTTCAACAGGATCTTTCTGTAGATGACTGGAACTCTATAATACAATCCTTTTCTAAATTCTGTCTGCAAATTTCTAACCTTTCGACTTTCCCAGAACCCAATAACTCTTTCTTGAACTCAGCAATACTTCCGTATGTTGTTGGGTTTTCCTGTCCTCTCTTGCATTGCTCTTTGGAAGTTGACTCCAGGCAGCAAGTTGGGACAATTATAGGGCTCATGTCCGTTGCTGCCTTTCAGTTTCTCAGTCCTATGCCACCTGAGTTCCAATGTCTGGAAACTATTGTTTCAGATATTCTATCTAGTTTTCTCATTTTTATGGCCAGAGGGCAATTCCCGTAGCATTTAATCTTTCATGGACAGAAGTACAAGTCATCCATTGAGTTCTTAATTTCAGTTAACATAGTTTTCAATTCTAGAATTTCCATTTGATTTTTTAAATCATTTCCAGTTCTTTAAAAAAAAAAAAAAAAACCTCTATATTCTCATTGGATGTATTGAAGACATGAAATATGAAACAATTATTTTAAAGTCCATGATTGATAATCCTAATATCTGGGACATCTGTGGGACTGTCTTCAGTCTTATTTTGCTTCTTTTAATTTTTCGTTAATTATTGTCCTTTTATTTTATTTTTTTTTCCATTTATTTTTATTAGTTGGAGGCTAATTACTTTACATCATTGCAGTGGTTTTTGTCTTACATTGAAATGAATTAGCCATGGATTTACATGTATTCCCCATCCCGGTCCCCCCTCCCACCTCCCTCTCCACCCGATCCCTCTGGGTCTTCCCAGTGCACCAGGCCCGAGCACTTGTCTCATGCACCCAACCTAGGCTAATTATTGTCCTTTTAAATGCCTGCTTGTATTTGGTTGATTGCCAGGTATCTGTGGTTTAAAAATAATGGAGATAATTTGAGACTTTGGATTCCTTCTCATGCAGAGAGGATTTACTCTTACTTTGGCAGGTAGTTCGTAAGGGATAGGGTGTAAGCCTTCAGAGACCAAGCTGAGATTCTGGGTGCTAGATAGGCCCCCCCATCCTCGACCATCTTTGAATGACAGTTGTTGCTCCCCAGGCCCATGGAACCACCAACAGTCTCATTGAGTTTCTCAGCCTCTGCAGCAGCAGTATTTATTTCTGGCAAATATCTTGGGGAGAAAATGTGCCAGATGTTGGGTTCCCCTAACTGCACTTCATTTCTCTCTATGATGATGTCAAAAGATGTGACTTTGAATTTTGTCCAGATTTCCTAGTTGTTCTTGGTTGTGAGGGTTAGTTTGAAACAAACTGGTTCACCATTACAGAAAATGAAACGCAGCCTTGATTTCTTTTTAATAATATTTTTGAGGTCAAGAGGGCAGAAATTATGCCCAATGATGACATCTACTCAACTAAAATCTTCCTGGTAGTCAGAGCTAACTCTAATTCCCTGAACAGTGAGATCATAAAGATGATTCTATCCAAATAGCTAGGGTGGATAGCCCCCTTGATGAAGCCAGACATTAGCATTCTTAAACTAAAACATTTCAAGCAGAAGAGATTTACTACCATGACATGTGCAAGTAAGTTACTGAAAAAGGAAGTGTTCACCCATGGTACTATGGGTGCTTGGGGGAAAAGTGCTTATAATATTAATATCCAGGAAAAATCATTATAATGGTAGTTTTTAGCATATCCTATCTCCAGAAAATGAAATTTCTAAGGCTATATTATAAGTCTTTTCTGTCCATACCTGTCTATTAAACACTAGACCCCTTTTCTCCATTGTCTCCAGTATCCTCTCGCTGGATGTCCAACAGCACCTCAGACTCGAGTCCAGGCTAAACTTCCTCTCTTCTCTGCCCCCCAAATCTTTGTTTTTCAGAGAAAAATTTCTGAGATGAAACTATTTTAATAGAGGCTTCATCTGGAGAGTTTAACTATGGAACTGGAGAGAGACAAAAGGCAAGGACTTCTGCTTTTTGTCTTTTACTCCGCTATAACCTTGAAAAAAAATTTCCTAGGAATATCATCCTTAAAATAAAAAGAACTTGTTCTCTAGCATTCACTCTCATGGCCATTGAGGCAAGAACATTAGCATCCTTCCAGATGACTGTTCCCATCCCTCCCTGTCCACTTGACACCAGACCCTCTTTCCAACCCCACCATCACACGTGTATGCAGCCACTGCCAGGGCCTTCCAGCCTTCCCATCCCACTCCGGTCTACTCCACTCTGATTTGAATTCTCTTTTTAATTGTCTCAAATGCATAGCCAAGCATTGGAGTAGCAATGACACCTCATTGCGGTGCCCAGAATGAAGTCCTAAGTCCTTGGCATGAAATAGAAACTCCTCATGACCCAGTCTCAGCCCACCAGATAGACTTGATCCCAGGCCCTCACCTTCCAGATCTGCTCATTTCTCAACATCCCTGAACTTCTCATCCAGACCAGGGCCTGTGATGGTGCTCACCAATCAGGTTTTCATGAGCACTGATAACAGGGCTTGTGACAGTGCTCTGCATGGCCCACAATATTGTTACTTTTTCCCTTTTCTCTTAATTCTCATACATGTATAACCCACGCGTAAGACCAACACCACTTGCCACCTCAGCGCTATTTATTACCATGGTATTATAAAAAATAACACAAGTTTGTGAATCTCATGGGCCTAGATTCAATACTGGAAGGTGACTTACTTTTCTCTTCCAAAAAGAGAATCTCATGGGGGTGTCTGGAGGATGAAAAGAGAAGGGGGCATAAGGCCCCAAGCAGAGTTCCTGACATAGCAATTCTACAACAGATACTTGGAGGAGGACCCTGCAGAACCCCTCCAGGGTCCCTGTTCTTACAACGCCCTCTTAAAGCAGTCCTTACTCAGCCTTCAGGCTTCTCAGGTGGCTTAAGGGTAAAGAATCCACCTGCCAAGAGACACGTGCACCCCAATGTTCACTTCAGCACTGTTTATAATAGCCAGGACATGGAAGCAACCTAGATGCCCATCAGCAGATGAATGGATAAGGAAGCTGTGGTACATATACACCATGGAATATTACTCAGCCATTAAGAAGAATTCATTTGAATCAGTTCTAATGAGATGGATGAAACTGGAGCCCATTATACAGAGTGAAGTAAGCCAGAAAGATAAAGACCATTACAGCATACTAACACATATATATGCAATTTAGAAAGAGGGTAATGATAACCCTATATGCAAAACAGAAAAAGAGACACAGATGTACAGAACAGACTTTTGGACTCTGTGGGAGAAGGTGAGGATGGGATGTTTCGAGAGAACAGCATCAAAACATGTATATTATCTATGGTGAAAGAGATCACCAGCCCAGGTTGGATGCATGAGACAAGTGCTCGGGCCTGGTGCACTGGGAAGACCCAGAGGGATCGGGTGGAGAGGGAGGTGGGAGGGGGGACCGGGATGGGGAATACATGTAAATCCATGGCTGATTCATGTCAATGTATGACAGAAACCACTACAATATTGTAAAGTAATTAGCCTCCAACTAATAAAAATAAATGAAAAAAAAAGACCCCACCTGCCTATGCAAGAGATATGGGTTCAATCCCTGGGTCATGAAGATCCCCTGGAGAAGGACATGGCAACCCACTCCAGTATTCTTGTCTGGAGAATTCCATGGAAAGAGGAGCCTAGCAGGCTACAGTCCATGGGGTCACAAAGGAGTTGGACACGATTTAGTGACTATAACACCAACTTGGCCTTCAGCAGTCAGCTACGGGCTGCCTGCTCTGTGGTCTGGCAGCACAACTGGGGCAGCATTCTTCCAGTGCATGGTATGCAGAATAATTGCCTCCAAAGATACCCCTGTCCTAATCTCCAGAACCTGTGATTATGTTAACTTACATGGCAAAAGAGGCTTTCCAGATATGGCGGAGTTGAGGCTCTTGAGGAGAAATTTTCCTGGATTATCCAAGTGGGCTCAGTGTAATCCAAAGGTCCTCACAATATGGAGGCAAGAGAGTCAAAGAAGCAACGTGATGACAGAGGCAGAGATTGGAGTGATTCTTTCCTCTAGAAGCTGGAAAGGCAAGGAAATAGATTTCCCCCAGAGTCCCCAGAATGGACCAGTCCTGCTGACCCCTTAATGTTGAGCCCTGAGAAATTGGTTTCACACTTTTGAACTTCAGAGCTATAAGACAGTAAATGTGAGTCATTTAAGTCACTGAAGAAAAGTAAAAGTGTTAGTCGCTCAGTCATGTCTGACTCTTGGTGACCCCATGGACTGTAGCCTCAGAGTCTCCTCTATCCATGGAATTCTCCAGGCAAGAATACTAGAGAGGGTAGCCATTCTCTTCTCCACAGGATCTTTCTGACCCAGGGATTGAGCCCATATCTGCAATGGCAGGCGGATTCTTCACTGCTGAGCTACCAGAGAAGTCCCATTAAGTCACTAAGTTTGTGTTATTCAGTTCAGTTCAGTCGGTCAGTTGTGTCCGACTCTTTGTGACCCCATGAATCGCAGCACGCCAGGCCTCCCTGTCCATCACCAACTCCCGGAGTTTACTCAAACTCATGTCCATGGAGTCGGTGATGCCATCCAGTCATCTCATCCTCTGTCATCCCCTTCTCTTCCTGCCCCCAATCCCTCCCAGCATCAGGGTCTTTTCCAATGAGTCAACTCTTCGCATGAGGTGGCCAAGTATTGGAGTTTCAGCTTCAGCATCATTATTAGGTTGGTGTAAACATAACTGCAGTTTCAGACTGTGAATTTTAAATCATTATAACTAGTCTCAAACACTCATTAAATAGGAACCATTACAATCAACACATTTTTGCCAATGAAAAATAAGTTTGTTTATTCCTGCAGCATAAAAATCTGTACTTCAGGATTCAACGAACTTTTGGAAAGCATTTTCTGCCTCCTGCTGGTTGTGGAAGCATTTTCTCTGCAAAAAGTTGTCAAGATGTTTGAAGAAGTGGTAGTCGGCTGGCAAGAGGTCAGGTGAATATGGCAAAAATGCGTAGCCCAATTCTCTCAACTTTTGAAGCGTTGGTTGTGCGATGTGTGGTTGAGCATGGTGGTGCAGAAGCACTGGGTCCCTTCAGTTGACCAATGCTGGCTGGAGGCATTGTAGTTTTCAGTGTGACTCATTGATTTGCTGAGCATACTTCTCAGATGTAATGGTTTTGCTGGGATTCAGAAAGCTTTAGTGGATCAAATGGGCAGCAGACCACCAAACAGTGACCATAATCTTTTTTTGGGTGCAAATTTGGCTTTGGGAAGTGCTTTGGAGCTTCTTTTTTGGTCCAGTCATTGAGAGGGTCATCACCAGTTGTTGTATAAAGTGCACTTTTCGTTGTAGATCACAATCCAATTGAGAAATGGTTCTTTGTTGTTGCATAGAATAAGAGAAGTCACTTCAAAATGACAATGTTTTTGATTTTCAGTTAGCTCATGAGGTACCCACTTACTGAGATGTTTCACCTTTCCAGTTTGCTCCAGATGCTGAATGACCATAAGATGGGTGACGCTGAGTTCTTTGGCAACTTCTTCGTAAGAGGATCAGCTTTGTTGATCCTCTCAGTTTGTTGTTGTCAACTTCCCATGGCCGGCCACTGTGCTTCTCATCTTCAAGGCTCTTGTTTCCTTTGCAAAACTTCTTGAACTACCCCTACACTATACATTCATTAGCAGTTCCTGGGCCAGATGCATTGCTGATGTTGTATTATCTCCACTCCCTCACAATCCATTTTGAACTCAAATAAGAAAATCGCTCAAACTTGCTTTTTGTCTGACATCATTCCCTAATTTAAAATAAATACAAAATAAACAGCAAGCAATGTCATTAGCAAAAATACATAAAGTGAGAAATGGGCATTAAAAATGATGTATAGCATAACCACATTTACTTAAGAATGCATTCTAATATCAAATGGCAATGTTCAACGGGGCAAAGCCGCAATGACTTTTGCACCAATCTATTAATTTTGTTACCAGCAACAGGAGACAATACAGGATAACAGCTAGAGCTGACCTGTGCACCACACCATCTTCCTGGTGGTTTGCTGAAGGGACAATGGCCCATTTTTCTT